AAAAACACCTCACCATTTGCCGCTTTGGCAGAGCCAGCGTGCACCTGCAGGGCCTGTCCTCTGTATCCAAGCGTTGCAGAGATGTTGACTATGCTGCCACCATGATCCTGAGTGAATCGTAATGCAATAAGTAATTTAATGTGCACTGCCCTCTTCTGGTGACTAGCATGTATTGCAGGAAAACAATCTTATTGAAGGCTTTGATGTTGTGGCAGATAAAGCATTAACAACTGTACTTGTGGCGCTTTCAGCACAGCTCAGAAACACTGCATCACACGAACAGAATGAGCGCCGTACCTTGAACCACTTCTCATAAACCACCTTGCTGGTGTTGAATGTACCCAACGTGTCTATATCCAGAACGGTCTTGAAGGCATTGAAGGAGAGTGCGGTAGCAGGGCAGAGGAAGTTCCCAGCAGCATCTGTGATTGAAACCAGCACAGTAATTATGACAACTCCAAGGCAAAGAACTCTGCAGTGCCTAATTGCTGACATAAAGATCAGTTTGCACAGATGACCTGTATCTAACACTTAATCATGCTACAGTGATGCAACAGGGTAAAAATACAAGATAAAAAGATGAAGTATCAGGAAGGTTGATGATTAAACCAAAACCTTTCACACTTGACCTTTGAACAGAGTACATTTGCACTTATTTTTGGCTTTAAAAATCATTTGGACCTTCAGTGGTCGGATTGCAAAGGTCAGGAATTGTTTGTGGCGGGGTGCCCCACCTTTTTTTTTGTTTGTTTTTTCCATAAGATGCATGAGATGTATAAAGCTGGTCTTTGTGCACGAGGCATCACATACTGTTAACAAGGATGTCCACACGGCCAAACTCTTTCAGGATCTCATCCACAGCAGCCATGATGCTGTCGGGCTGCCTCACGTCGATACACAGTGGAAGACAGCGCCGCCCTGACACAGCTGACAGCTTTTTAGCAGCCTAGGGATAAATATTCATTAACACTGGCATCTTTGTGTTATATAATGATCTTCTATGATTGCGGAAAGAGTGGGAAGAGTGAACCTCATTGAGCTTGTCCAAGTTCCTGCTGGCAATCACTGTGTCACAGCCATGCCTGGAAGACAGAGAAAATGTATAACACTGCAGAGAGAACACATGCTGCATTGTGCTGATCAGAACCGGAAAAGATCATCAACCCATAAATAAAGAAGGTAGATATGAGGCAGGCAGGATGGAAAGTAAGGTAACAAAGGGTAGAACAGCACAAGGTTAGGCAAATGTAGCTTCATCATGGAGTGAGCCTCACTTGAGCCCTCTCTCATTTCTGTGTATTTTGCTATGAAAATGCACCTGATTTTCAGTCTAGTTCTTGTGTAATCAGGAATACCTTGGCGTTTTCACCCAGTTGCCCTTCCTTATAAATGGTTTCTTGAAATCCACCCTTTCACTGAGACCACTGAACCTTCAACTGAGGCTAAAGTAAACAGTAGAAGAATGAAATGAAGGGTCATCTCTCTGGTCCTTTGTCAGTTCTTTGCTGGATTTTTAGATACCGTTCATCTGCTGTAGACAGGGTTTTTGTCTACCACTTCATCCTTAAAGATGCAATTTAAAGTTGCTTCTTTGCAAAGTTTTATGTTATGTATAAACAACTTTCATTGCTTTAGTCTGAATCATTAAAGTAAAAAAACAAACAAAAAACAAACAAACATCACCACCTTTGGTTAGTGTTAAGTGGCTTAAACACTTAAAAACATCCTTCAGAAAATGGTCTGGTGCGAGGAGTGAACTGAAAATGAGTGAGACAGGAGCCAATGTCCAAAGAAAACCTTTCAAAGACCTTCAGAAAGCCTGGAGAACTGTGATTAAACTAAGCAAAATATAACAAATTGAGGGTTTGCACGAGACCTCGGCACATTACCATGCACAGATCAATAATTAAAATGTTGTTAGAGTTCAATGTGATATTTTACTGACTGCAACAGGATTGGCTGTTACGGAGATGAGCAGGCAGATCTTCTCACCTCATGAAGATTTCAGCTATGCGCAGACCGATTCCAGATCCTCCACCTGTGATAAAAGCAACCTGGTCTCTGTAAAATACAGTACACCCCATGTAACGGTCAGGAAAGAGACTAAATCACACGTGCTGATGGAAACGCATATTTTCATGCTTACTTCAGTAAATCCGGACTGTAGATGTAAGTGTATGAAGTCAGACAGTCATCCGTGTCAACATCTTCAGGCAGCAGCTTTGCCTTTGTTTTCGACTCTGCCATGTTGATTGTCTGTAAGATAAATAGCGAAAAGAAATGCAAAATAAAAACAAACACGATTTTTTTTTTTAATTGGGACTGTCATGTATTCAAACAAGTTTTATCCAGTATGACGCTCTTATTTTGAAATCTTTGCAGAGTGCAGAGACTTTAATGCTAGTTAGCAGCATATTTAAACACACGTTTGCGTAATTCCTGGCAAGGTGAGAGGTCATACTAGAAGAAAACTGCATTACCAAAGCGGAACAGTGAAAATTGTGAAGCAGGCTCTCATTTATAGTCACTAATAAACGTTTTTAATAAAATACTGTCATTTAAAAAAATAAAAATGGCAAGCCGAGGACTTGCAAAATAACATGCCTCACTCAAAGCAGTGGTCTACCTCTGCTCCAGAGTACTGTGAGCTGTTCGTCTCTTTAAAATAGAGTTTACTATTACTATAGTTGTTGTTTTTGCCAACACCTTTAATTAACAGTATGGCTCCGTGTACTTGCAGCACTTCGTCGTGTTACCTCAAGAAGACGACGAGCTGGTTAGTAGCGCTGACAGAACAACAGTCCAATGCCTCTGTGCTGAACACGAAACACTAACACACGACCAGGCCCACCCGTATCTGCATTTATAGTTCACTCATTAGCACTTTTTTTCTGGTAGGAACGATTTGTACCTTGGACGTTTACTTTTCGTCCTTTAGTGGTGCATTGTGGGCAATGAAGTCCGACAAGGGTGCATTCAAGACAACGAATACATCCCGGTCGAAACACGTTAAAAACGGCAGACAGGGGGGATATA